GTAAAGTGAAGACACAAAACACAAAAATAAAAAAGAAGCAAACCAAAAAATCTTTAATAAAGAAAGTCCCAACTTAAAAACCTAGGTGTACAGGAATAAGTTCAAGCTTGTCATTATCATAAAGTGATAAAACTGTCATAGTTAATATAACCAGTGACAAAAACATGAATCTTCACAAGCCCAGTTTTGGCAGACAACACATGGAAGCAATGCCTCCTTGGGCCAGCTGTTGGTGTATAGCCCAACACAAACCAGGCAAAAACACTCCTCATCATCAGAGGACTGTTCTCTCTCGTCTTCTTAGTCTTCCTTCCTTGTTCCTTCCTTGGGAAAAATCTGTGGTATCCTGAATTGTCTTTTTAGCATCAGCGACCCATTTTCTCCTTTTCTTATCCGGGACCAGTGAGACAAGCATCCAACTAACCACTTGACAAGCATTTTAAGCTAGCTACCACATGGCTTTAGCCTTCTAATGAAAAACTGACTTAAATCAAAGCGATTACTTTTATTTTATAAAAAGTATTCAGACCAATGAAAATGAGAGAAAAAAAACCCTCCTCACTTCAGTGTTTTGTGTGTGTTCCACATAATCACCACTGCAAAACAGACTGAGAAAGAAACACCCATACAACAGAAAGTCATTGTGTGGCTTCTCAGTGGTCTAATTTTCATATGTGTGCAGTAGTGATGTGTCGGTCGCGAACGAAATGGCTCTTAGAGCCGGGACTTTGACGTGAACGACGGGAGCCATTGGGTTTTCTTTTCCTTTCTCTCACCCTCTCTCTCGCACGTTTTTTCCGCTTCAATTTAAAAAAAAAAAAAAAAAGAAATAGTTAAAAGTTGAAATGTGAATAGTTGGTTTTAGTATTATAGGATTTATTTATTACATTTTATGTGGCGTGAATAAATAAAAGTATATTTACGGTGGCCCATAGAGACAAAGCACGTACAAACTCCAAAACACGTACAAAAGACAACAGAAGTGCTCCAGGATGCTAGGCACAGTGTTGAGCTTTTGTTACCTAGTGGCTACCAGTGTTGGTCAAATTACTTGAAAAAAGCAATCAGTAACTAATTACTGATTACTTCCCCCAAAAAGTAATCCCGTTACTTTACTGATTACTTATTTTCAAAAGTAATTAATTACTTAGTTACTTTTTAAAAACACGATTTACAACCTGAATAGGTGATAAAGCGATAGATCTTTCAGCCCAATTCTACTTTTTCTGCATAATCCATCATACAAAATGTAATCAAATGGAAAACTCTCTTTTTTTAACTTGTTTTATCAGTTTTAATATTTTAACTTTATGCATCAAGTAAAAATTTAATTATATGCAACATTCTCTGACTTGAAGAAATTAGTTTAACATTTAAACCTATTTTCTACACATTCCAGCACATAAAATAAAATATTCTTCGTGTTTACACTCAGTCTTTCAAATAGATGCAAGTAAAACACAGCAGAAAATAAAAAAGTCAAAGACCAGCGGTCCTTTTGCTCTATTTTCACTTGTAAAGCAGGAGTGGCGTAGGCGGAGGTTTGCCCTGGTGCAGGTGTGCTCCAGCGGTCAGTGGAAGAATCCGCAAGTTTCTCTGTGAATTTCCCATTACATTGTTGCGCCCTCAGAGCTTGTTAAGATAAGATAAGATAAGATAAGATAAGATAAGATAAGATAAGATAAGATAACCTTTATTAGTCCCACACGTGGGAAATTTGTTTTGTCACAGCAGGAAGTGGACAGTGCAAAAGTTTAGGGGTTGTTTTTTTTTTCGCTGTAAAAAGAAGTTTTCTTCCCACGCACAACGGACACTAATGTTTTTGTCACTTTTTATGGAATCAAACTTAAAGTAAGGTCAGTACTTCCTCGCTTTAAACGCTGCACGCTCATACTCTCTCCCATACTTGATATATTATCCATTGTCAAATCAAATCAAATCAAATCACTTTTATTGTCACATCACATGTGCAGGTACATTGGTACAGCACATGTGAGTGAAATTCTTGTGTGCGAGCTTCACAAGCAACAGAGTTGTGCAAAATACAATAATGTAAACAAGCAAAATGTTGATCTGCACACAGCTGTTGTCACGAAAGTTGCGCTCGCTTACGTCACTGTCATGAGACATTCTCGCAAAAAAATCACGGTTTTAGTAACACAGTAACGCAGTGTTCCTACAGGAAAGTAACGGTAATCGAATTACCGTTTTTGCGATAGTAATCCCTTACTTTACTCGTTACCCTAAAAAAGTAATCAGATTACAGTAACGTGTTACAAGTAACGCTACTGTATGGTGCCCAAGCATGTAAATCTAATTACCTAATTCTTGTAGTCCAAATGAGATATAGCTTGATGTTGTCATCTCGCTTGCTATCAAGCATTTAAGCTTCTCAGTTGTTTATTGTGACTATGTACTTATGTTTCATCTTTCTGATGTATTATTAATTATCTTCTGCAAATGTATTTTCATGTGTTGCTGCGGCCTACTGAAAAAAACCTGGCGAGCACACTGTGGTCAGAGATGTGGCTCACCCTAAGCAACAATCACAAGTAATGCGTTACTGCCCATCTCTGGTGGCTACGCAAGCCAGCAAGTACCAACAACCGGATTTGGTGTGTGGTAGTAACAGGTAAATGAACATTTTTTTTAAATTATTTGAATATATATGAGTGCTTGTGTATAAATACACAAACAATACACATATGCTTTCAACTGTGTAATTTAAGTGATCTAGGTAGCTCTGTTAAGGAAGTTCAGTTAACGCTAGAAATGTGTTTCGAAGTTTGTATGTGTTTTGTCTCTAGGGGCCACTGCATATATTTATATATAAACATATATAAATAAAACCACTTTTTTTACATTAGTAATTCCTTTTTTGCTTAATTTTATATTATTGTTAATAATAAATTAATTAAAGCAACAAAACAACCTGAAGGGCCGGTTCGGAGCCGAAAGAGCTCTTTTTAGTGAGCCAAGCCGAAAGAGCCGGTTCTCTAAAAAGAGCCGGAAATCCCATCACTAGTGTGAAAATCCCTCGTCGACCACAAAACTATATTCATGGACTGGCTGACTTTTGTGATTGAGATATTGCTAATACTAACCCTCTTTTGAGGATCAACGTTGACCTGTGGCTCATTAAGACGATAAATCTGGGGCTTCTACAGTGAAACTTGGACCGCTTCCATGTCCGTAATCACTACTCTCAGGTGACTTCAGGGAGTACAATGTTTTTCTCAGTTTGGGACATAGTTTACACAAAAGGGTGTGTCATGCTTACTTGAACTATGATACACCTTTCGGTCTTCCTGGAATAAATAGGCACGGGTTGGGTTGATTTGAGAGTGCTACAGCACCTCCTAGTGGATCATAGGTGACTTGCATGTGAAAGTACAAATACTGTATTAAAAATGACTAAATATAAATGATTTTTTTCACATTGTAATGACGCTTCCATTTAATTAAGCACTCGGTAGTGATTGTTGCTTAGGGTGAGCCACATCTCTGACCACAGTGTGCTCGCCAGGTTTTTTCAGTAGGCCACAGCAAGACATGAAAATACATTTGCAGAAGAGAATTAATAATACATCAGAAAGATGAAACATAAGCACATAGTCACAATAAACAACTGAGAAGCTCAAATGCTTGACAGCAAGCGAGATGACAACATCAAGCTATATCTCATTTGGACTACAAGAATTAGGTAATTAGATTTACATGCTTGGGCACCATACAGTAGGGATAAATGTGCATTATTAGGCCTTAACCTTTATAACTGATGTGTGATTAATTTAAGGCCTTTGACTGAAGTCTGTAGTGATCTTATTGTTACAAGACTACTGCAGGCTTTGGTCAAAGGTCGGTCTTATACTGAAGAGTGAGTCATTGCAGGTATGTTGTCTTTGGCTGCCAGCTGCGCCAGTAATAACAGTGCTGACGTCTTTAAGATATGATAAATATTCAAGACCTTCTATGTGATAAGAACTATTTTAAATTCTAGATTTAACAGGGAGAAAAAGAAGAGAAGCTAACATGGGTGAAATATAATCTCTTGTTTTTTTAGTCGCTTTTGTGCTCTTGCTGCAGCATTCTGGATTAAATCAGGGCTTTTCGGGGGGAACTTTTACCACAGACTAATAATAATGAATTACAACAATCCAACCTAGAAATAATCAATGCATGAACTAGTTTTTCAGCATCCCTCTGAGACACGGATTTTTGTCATTTTATCTTCTATATTTGTTTAATGTGCATGTTAAAGGACATGTCTTGTTCAAAAATGCATCCACAGCACTGTGCTGGTCTACACTGTCTTTGTTTAGATGTCATATTTAAGAAATTGAAAGCTGCAATTAATTTTATTCTTGCTCTATATTTTTTTCCTTTTTAGTGCATTGTCATGTTTTTTCACTTGCATTGGATCCCAAAGGTATGTTTGCTGGCAGGGAGGGTTCTGCTTTTGCCAGAAGCCTTTGTCTGAAATGTCTAATGTCAGTAGTAGTATTAACTGTACTCAATTTATTAAGTATTTGAGAGGATTAAAGGAGTCATCATGTGCCTTGAATGCGACACACTCAGAAGCCATAAGTAACACACGTCATGTTTGCAGACGTCACTCCTGACATATGTTTGAATCTGTCTGCTCTTGATGGGCTCACTTGCATCCTCCCACCACCCAGGAGCGCTACTGGGTTGAGAATTGTGTGTGTGTGTGTGTGTGTGTGTGTGTGTGTGTGTGTG